GAGCTGGTGCTCAGCGGCTCGGGTGCTCGTGGGCTGGTTTAAAAGTTATTAAACACGTGCAGTGCTGCTCCCCTGCAGGCAGCCTCGTCAGTGAGTGTCTAAAGGGGGTGCCAAAGGTGTGGGTCCAGGCTCTTGCCCGTGGTGCCAGGCCATGAGACAAGAAGCAATGGGCAGAAACTGAGGCACAGACGTTCCACCTGAACATGAGGAGCAACTTCTTTACTCTGCAGTAAAGAAGGTCTTGCACTGAACAGGTTGCCCAGAGGGGTTGTGGAGTCTGCCTTACTGGAGATATTCCAGACCTGTCCAGACACAACCCTGTGCCATGTCTCTGGGATGACCCTGCTTGAGCAGAGGAGTTGGACCAGATCCATTGTGGCCCCTTGCAGCCTTACTCAGTCTGTGATTCTGAGTGGGCAGCTATGCTGGAGAAGTAAGGCAAGTTGTTCAGTCTCTGAAATATCAGTGAAGAGCCTTTCTTTTATTGAAATGAGTTGCAGTGAAGTCATGCTAAAAAAGAAAAGGAAAATACTTTCAGTACTACAAATCTAGGTTGTTTAAAGAGCCTTAGATTGATTCGTGCAGTAATGATGTTAGTGTGAATGACACACTGGAAGGTAACTTGGCTCTATCAAAAGCTGTCATCAAGTATTCTGACAGTACTCAATATTGACTTAAATGGAGCTCCAGTAATGTGAGTTAATTGAGGAACTGATCCCTTGATTTCTCCATGCTTCTTTGATTATTACTTCTGCCAGTAGTTAAATTATTCACTGTAAAATTAGGGATACTTCCATTGTAGCACTTAAAAATTTTCACATTGTTAGGTTGCTTGGTTGTTCTTGTTTTTTTTTATCTTGGTAATGGTAGAACATAAGAGGTCTGCCACCAATTTGACCAGTTACTGTGTAGTAAAACACATGCCAGGTTATATAAGATTTCTAAATAATACACTGCTCCTTCTGTGCCTCTTACCTGAGCAGGTACATATGTAAAAACCCAATATTAGATCTAACTTCTTGTTCTGTATATCACATTATTTTCAGTTTATTAGGAGGATTATGAATTTTGATTTAAAAATTAGGAATTAATTCTAGTTTTGTCCAAATCACGTTTTCTCAAGGACTGAAACTCCACTGATGCTTAGTTCAGTAATGTGCATAGGCCAAGGAAACTATTAAATGTTCTTGGGTGTGTTTTCTTTTTGCAGACCTTTCATATTTAAATACAAATGTGGATAAAATTAATGGGACTGGGGGGATTTATGTCCTCAGCTTTATGTGCCTATGCCAACTTCACAGACAATTTAGCAAAAAGAAAAAAGATGGTCTTTTCTTGTACTAGTTGTTATTTTTCCATCTCTTCTTTCTGTTTTCACAGGATAGATAAATTATATAAAAATACTTCTGGTTTGCATGCAGCATTTCTCTGACTGGTTGTGAAGGCTCAACATATGATACAGATAACTTGAAGAGATCTTGGACAGTTCTTGAAGGTTGACTGCATTTTGAATTGCAGTAAGTATAGCTGGTTTAAGCTGTTTTTATTTAGGAAGCAGTAAAATCATCATAGAAGGAGGAATTTCTAGCATCCTCCAAGAAGTAACCTATTGTCTGTTAGTGTTACTAAGAATAAAAATCTGCATGTGTTTTCTTTGTGATTTCTGACAAGTTTTTTTCCCCTCTTATTGCAGATAAGTGTTGCAACACAACACATGTCTAAATATGCAGTTTGCTAATATGCTTCTGAGAAGAATTGTAAGAAGTTCTGTCCTTCCATTTGCCACACAACATGGGATGAAAAAGGATTTGTTTCCACTCAGTAGAACTCTGAGTTTATCACTTTGTCTGAAGCAAGACAAGTCATATGAACCCTCAGAAAAACTGGATTTAGATGAGTGGAAGAAGGTAATGAAATCCGGGTTGCAAGAAGAGGTCACTGAGATGGTCTCAGAGCCTAAGGAGCTTTCCAGTTTGGCTGCTGCACGTGAGACTTTGGAGATGTGGAGGCTAGCTGGCAGAGCAGTTCCAGAAAATATTAGTGAAGAACAGCTAAAAACCTTTATGGAGTGTCCTTCTAAGTCAGCTAAAAAGAAGTATTTAAAATATTTGCATCTCAAAGAACTTCACAAGAAAAATGACAAGAGAAAGATGGAAGAGAAAAGGGAAAGGAGGCTGGAAGCACAAGATCAAGATTCAAAACCAGATGAGATCAAAAAGAGTTCATTCCTATATTTCTGGTCCCACACTATGGATAAAGCATACAATTGGAGGGCTGCTCAGTCCATGATCTTTGGCCAGCCTCTAGTATTTGACATGTCTTATGAAAAAGAGATGTCTCTCCGAGAAGTCTCAAATACAGTGAGACAGATAGTAATGAGTGAAAGCAGCAATCGGAGATCTGTGGACCCATTCCACATTCACTTCTGTAACTTCAAAGATGATAGCCTCTATCACAGGGAATTTATCAAGAATTATAGAGAGGCATGGGACAAACTGCTTATCACAGTGACAGATAAGTGCTACACAGAAATCTTTCCAAAGGATAAGCTCATCTATCTGACAGCTGATTCTCCCAAAGTAATGAAAACATTTGATCACGATAAGATCTATATTGTTGGGTCACTGGTTGACAGGAGCATAAAAACTGGAGTCTCTTTAGCACGGGCAAAGCGATTAGGACTGGAGACTGCAGCCCTTCCACTGGAGAAGTATTTGCTTTGGAGTACTGGTGCCAAAAATCTCACACTGGATCAAATGATGCATATTTTATTAACTGTGAAAGATACTGCTGACTGGAAGAAGGCTCTGGAATTTGTTCCGAAAAGGAAATACTGTGGCTTTGTAAACAAGCCTGTGAAGGAATTGAAAAAAACGTTAGACCTGATCAACACACTCAAACTTGGAAAGGGACGGGAAAAAGTAGAAAAGCAATTTGCCAAAAACTATCCCCAGAGGTATAAACTAAAGCAAAAGTAGAGTGATGGGGAGGAAAATGAATTTTTTACACACAAACTGTGCCATCTTCTTGGTACATCTGGAACTCTGTTCAGCTTTTAATCTCAGAACATATTTTGTTGCTTATGTTTGAAATTACCGTCATTAAGAGTTGGGTTTTTTAATTACTTTAGTAGTCCAGCTGTTTAAATTTATTCACACATTATTGAAATTATGTAAGAGAAATAAGATAACATGTTGTAAAAAATCTACACAAAGACTGTCAGTCTGTTCAATTGAACTGTGCTTGCACAAGGGTGATTGTTACTGAATGCAAAGGTCTTCAGAGCTCTCTGCTTTGGAGGCTGTCTGCAGTTTTATTCTGTGAGATCACTAAGAAGTAGAAGAGACCTCTCCCCATTACTTCCTGAATCCTCTTGTATGCAAATGAATTGACCTTTGATAGCTGAACTAAATGGTTAAAACCTTGCATGAGTTTGGGGAACTGCACCATTTATTTCTGGATGTTCTATCTGGCACAAATAAAGTCCCTGTTTAGAAGGAATCAGGCAAATTTCTTGACTGTGCTGAAAGAAAAAATTAATCTTACCTACTTTTGTGTAAGACTTTTGTGCCAGAATTCTTGTGTTTTCAGGTCATGTAATGAAGATTTCCTGAAGTGCTGGAACTTCTGAGATGGTAAACTGTCCTATTAGTAAATACTTAGAAGAGCAGAGAGCCTTTTAATATTCCTCGCAGCTCAGAATATATTGGTGTCTCTCTGGAAGTCTGTGTTCAGGCTGCAGAGCTGCCATGGGCAGCTAAATACAGGTCTGGTGCCTGTGAGATGAGGAAGGCTTTCTTTGTGGGTGATGCTTAAAGTCAGTGATGGCAGGTGATGAGTTGGTGGTGACCCACTCCCTGGTGACCTCTTCTTACATGCTGTTGTAAGGTGGGGGTTGGAAGGCAGAAGATTCACTAGCTTGATACTGCCCTTCACTGCCTGTTGTGAGGCGCAGGGGCCTGCAGGCATGGATCACCTCTGGCACAGGGAAAGACCTGGCTCCTTTTAGCTGTATGAGGTTGGGAAGTACACAAAGCGTCACCCCAGGGTGGTGTTCCAGGTGATGCTTCAGAGCTGCCTTCAGCTGCCTGGGAAGCCCTGAAGTGCAAGGACTGGCTGTGTGAGTGCGTGTGCCTCACTCAGGCAGACTCTCCTCGAGGAAGAAACAACAGTGGAGCTGCCTGCTGCTGAGTGTCATAGAACTGTGGAATGGTTTGGGCTGGAAGGGGCCTCATCTAGATCCAGCCCCTGCCATGGGGTGGGTACTATGCCCCTTCTGTCATTTGCTCTTCCTCCATACAAACAGCCTCTTCTGATCTGTAAACTGGCTTGCACACTGGGGTGGGGGAAGGTGGTGTCACTGCTCACTTGAGCTCCTGTTACGAATCACAGACCAACCTCCTGAATCAAGCAGGGTCATCCCAGAGCACATGGCACAGGGTTGCATCTGGACGGCTCTTGAATATCTCCAGTAAGGGAGAGTCCACAGCCCTCTGAGCAACCTGCCCAGTGCTCGGTCACTGCGCAAGAAAGAAGCTGTTCCTCATGTTCAGGTGAAACTTTTGTGCATCGGTTTCTGCCCTTTGCCTCTTGTCCCATTGCTTGGCACCACCGGATCCTTCTTGGCGCACCACCTCCACACACTTTACATATTTATACACACCGAGGAGGCAGTGAGGTAATGAATGATATTGTGAATCACGGGAGGCAATCGTTAAACCACGCGCAGTGAGGAGGGCGCAGCAGCGGACGTGGTTCCTTCGCACCCCCGAGACGCAGAGGCTCAGGTTGCGGTGTCGGGGGGTGACTTTGATCCCCCGCTTTCCCCGCGGGAGGGAATGGAAGCCGTGCTCACGTGCGCGGCGGCTCCAGACGACCGTCAGCTCCGCGCGTTCCCGCTGTTCCCGCCGCGCCATCCCCGCGCGCCGCAGGGGCGGGGCCGGCCCGGCCGCGAGCCGGGCCTCGCGGGGGCGGGCCCGAGCGGCGCGCGTGCGCGGCGCGTGAGGCGGCGGAGGAGGCGGGGGAAAATGGCGGACGGCAGAGCCGAGGGGGAGAAGGCGAAGCGGCCGCAGCCCGCAGGAGGTGAACATGTAGCGCCTCTCGCCGCGGAGCTGTGGGGTGGGATCGGGCTCTGGGCCGGTCCAGCGGGGGTAGGGAGGGGCTCCAGGTGTCCCTCACCCGGCCGTGAGTTGCCGGGGCCGGGCCGTGCGGTGCCCGGCCCTGCGGGGAGGGTGGGTGGCTTGGGCCTGAGGGGACTGCGCTGGAGGAGAGGCCGGTCGCGCCTGCTGTGCTCAGCTTTACCGGCGCTTTTGTAAAAATACACCAGCTTCTCCTTGTCCATGCAAATGCACTATTTCTCTTTTCTAAAAATACACGGAGTACTTACGCCGTGTTCTGAGAGAAATACGACTGTTGCTGTCTGCAAGGATGAAGACAGCCTTAAAGATTGACTTTCAACAATTATGATACCTTTTTTATAAATGGGTACAGTGAATATTCTTTAACTGCTGTTTTAAGCATTTGGGGATTTTTTGCTTGGCAACAATCTGTAAGTTTGCTGTTTGGTTTTATAGTATTTATGTTATGACTGGATATTCCTGTAATTTCTGCAGTATTTGGTTCGAAAATTTTAATTGTATGTTTCTTTTCTTCTTTCTTCCCTTAAAGTTGAGAGGACAGTGGCTTTGCAAAGATAAAGCTTTTCTTTCTTGGTGTGTTTCTTCTTTTTGTTTTAGTGGGGTTTTTTTTTTGTTTTAATATGTCTGTAGGGAGAGGGCACTTCTTAGATCTGTTGAAAAATTAAATCGGGCATGTAAACCAATCAGGATAACCTCAACAGTGAATGTTATTTCTGATAATCGCTGACATTTGAAGAGTATTGATTTTAGGTAGTTCCTTGACTCTTGGTTCTCTGTTGGGCTTTGGTGGCTTTTTGGTTTTTATTTTTTGGTGGTGGTATTGGCTGGTATTTTGGTGGTGGTATTTTTTTTTATTAGTAATACAGTAACTGGACAGCATCAGCACATCAGTAATTCATACTGTCTTATGTACTGTTTTGTGTGCTGAAACATGATCTGAAGGAGTTGAGGTACCTTGGCCCTCAGGAGGAATAGTTGTTCTTTGAGGATTTTTGAAAGCAATTTGCAGTTCTTAGCTTTTGGCAAGATAGTGGGGCTTATCTTAAAATTAATTTAGCTGTGACTGGTTTGTTCCCACATGCCCCAGTGGTTCCCAGGGACAACAGATCCTGAAATGCTGTGCAGCTGGCACTGTCACTCTTGTCACTTCAGCCACCTGGGCTGTGGAAGTTGTCCACTCGTGTGGCGTGTTGATTTGCATGAGTAAAACTTAGCTGTGAAGGAGGACAACTTTTTATGTCTGCAATCCATGGAAAGGGCACTAGCCAGTCTAGTTTGGAAATAGTGCTGGTGCTTTCTGCAGGTGAAGTATGACCTCCAGGAAATGATAAAGCAGCCTTGATATCCTGGAATATATATGTGGACTGGCATGGGAGATGGTAGAGACCTGTTTAATGGTAAATATGCCTGCGTTTCTGTTTCCTGGAGAAATCAAACAGCACAACAGCTCCCTCCCCTTCCCTCATTGTCCTGTGCCCCTTACAGCTTTCTCATCAAGCAAGAGTGTTTCTTTCAGCAGTCTGGTGTTCATCCTTTGGCAAGCCCAGTAGAAATAATGCTCAGAATGCAGTGCTGATAGGAACTAATTCTGAGATGCTCTTTAGGATTTGGTGAGAAAACAGATGTGGGTAGATTGTATTAGGCTTCATCTTGTGCCTAGTAGTATTTGAGACTTTGCACTTTAAATAAGTAAGCTGTAAGAAGTAGTGTAATAACCTTCAGGCTAGCACTAGTCTAGGAATTGGTTCCCTATGCCCTGAATTTTGGGCTGCTATGGTTTTGTATATTATGAAAAAGAAGACTTAGCCCTACGGTTCCAGCAATTTTAAGGCCAGTGAATCTTCTACTTACCCTTGAATCAGTCTCTAGTGTACTGAGGCTGCACTTGGAACATTGTTTAATGTGATTTTATGGATGAAATATAAGGATGCTCTCCTAGTCTCTGCAGACTGCTGTTTGGTAAACTCTGCTAAGACAGCTACCAGTGCCCAAGGTGACTTGTGTAAATTTTGATTGTTTCTCTTTCCTCCTTTGTTTTTCATTTTTATATCTGTATTTTCTGGATCAGTTTTCTAGTAGCATTTTTTTTTAATACAGTGAAAATTATTAAAGTTACAATTTTTTTGTGGTCTGCATATTTCTGAAGGTGAATGATAAATCCATTTTGGTTTCAATCACTTATTGATACCTGGAAGAATGGGTAGAAGTAGTATATTCTGCTTCTTCTGATTTGGGAAATAGCAGACAAATATATATATAGACTGAGTCCCTAGTTTTTCTCTTTCCTGATGTTGTTTGCATTTTTTTTTTTTTTTCTCAGAGCTACAATCTTACTGACCCCCAGTTCAGACTTTCTTCTCTCCCACTGCTTCATCTTACCTAGCAGCTTTTTGCATTAGCAGTGCAAAGAGCTTTATCCCCTGATGGTCGGAATTTGCTGTGCATGGAAGGTGCTCTTCTACATTTGATGTTATGAGGAACTTGTGCTAGCTCCAGTTGTTTTAAACTGCTGCTGTGAGCACTTCCCTGTCCATTCCTTAATGTGTGTTTGTTTTTTCCCCCCTTCTGCTGCTGCAGTGGTTTGCTTATTGCAGCAGCAGGGAAGTGTCTTTTTGCTGAAGCATTTACTCTGTTCAGTATGAGTTTTCCAAGGACACCTTTGTCTCTTGGTGTAGCTGAAGAAGCTGATTTTATAGGAATGGAAGTGTTACTTGAATGTTTTTTCTCTGTGGATCACTGTTCAGCTGCTATGTTTTCCATGACTATACAAACCCAGAAAAGATGAAATCTATATATATGCTTTTTTAGTGCTGATTCCTTCCTCAAGCAGAGCTTGGCAGATTTATTACAGATGAGATGCGGACAAGCAGTGACTTGAAAGATGATTGAGACAGCCGGCCTCACTGTAGTCACTCCCATGATTTTAGACTTGTGCCAGACAAGCATAGAGACTGGCATGGACATGATTTTGTAGAAATTTAGTAGAATTAATTTTAACTTAGATTATCTACTCTAGATTTGGAATTGGGATTCCAATTATGAAAACTTATCTGTGGCAACTTAAAAATTTAAAAAGATTTAGTCATCTACATTTAATTTACTACATGAACTTTGACTTCCATACTAAATAAAGAGATGGTGCTTCAAGATTGTTTTCCTGGCTCATACAAGAAGTTCTTTACAAGTAGTGGAGTGCTTGCAGTTTCTTCTTCTCTTTGTGTTTTGCTGTCCACTAAATATACATTGGTGGAAACTGCTGTCACTAAAAACATTTTACCTATTGCACCCAAAGTATAATGCTTTTTGAGGTTGCTGCTCCCATCAATCTGCTCAGTAAAAGTAGCTCATCTTGGTAAGTTGTTTCGACTTCACCAGGACCTGAAGAAGAGGCAGAAAAACCTGTGAAAACTAAGACTGTTTCTTCCAGTAATGGAGGAGAAAGTTCGAGTCGCAGCGCAGAGAAACGGGCAGCTAATGAAGAAGCTGAAGACTTCACCACAAAGCCTGCTCCTGCCAAAATGTCCAAGTTTGGATTTTCCATAGGCAGTCAGACAACAAAGAAGGCATCTGCAATATCCATCAAACTGGGAGCAAATGTAAGTTTACTGTGGTCTTTTAATTTTAGGGAAACTGAGGGAAAAGGGAAGTACTTTGGGGGAGGCTTCCTTGCAGAGGAAACCTTGAATTCACGTGAGGGTAACTTGGGAAAAGCTTAAGCAGGCATTGCAGGGCCAGCTAGTCGTGCATGTGTAAGTACTTCAAGGTGATTAATAACAGGTCAGTAGTCTCAGGAATCATAAGACTTGATTGAAATGAACTGTAGATCTTTGAACATGCAGAATAATTTTATAATGAGATTTGATAAGTCTGCAATAATTTCCTTAGGGAAATGAGCAGACTTGTTAAGCTGTTCAGGCTACTTTGAAATGAGTGCTGGGAGCTTCATTGCATAGGATGCTTAAAGCTAGAAGAAAGCATCTAGATGGCTTAATAGGTTGTCTTCCACTCCAAAGATCTTATTTTAGCATGGGGAATTGTAGCATATTTCCATGACTTTGCCCGTTCTTTGCAAGGTCAGTATGATTTATTGTGTTAAATGCAAGAGATGGAGCTTTGTTACATAGATTTCTAAGAATTCTGATTTCCTTCATTGTCCAGCACAAGGTATCCTTGTGCTTGTTCAGATGTGAATCTGATGACTCTCTGTACTTCCAGAGTAATCCTCCACTGGCTTGGCCAAGGACAAGCCAGGGGCTGCCTCTCTGTTTAATACAGTTCATTTACATTTCCCACCTGTCACTGTGGTGGATACCTTATCAGTAGCTGTCTGCATCAAATTCAAACTCTAATCGTGAAAGGCTTGCACCCGCAATGCCAGCATTTTAGGAACCTGCAGAGTATTAAAAGGGTGCTCTGTTATTTTGAGATGGAAGGGAGATGTGGGCTGGCAGCATTCTAGGGTATAAATGCAACCAGGTCAGCTTAGACTTTGGAAAAATGAACAAGGCTTCCTTCTCTGGGCTTTTAGCATGCTTCAGTTTCTCATTTTCAAAGTGGCAATAAATTTGGCTCAGGATTTCTGCACGGAACTTAGTGGGTGAGGGACAGTGCTGAAATTTACCTGTTTCTCTTCAGTCATTTTTACTCCCCTAGTACACTCCCCATTCCTTGGGCGCAGATGCTTTAAAAATGGTGTGGTATCTGTATGTTGTGCAGCATCAGTAGGAACAGCTGTAGGCAGTTGCATAAGGGCTCTGCTGCAGTACCAGCTTCTAGGAGTGTGCAAAGAATTACCAGTAAAGGCAAAATGGAGAAAGCACTGTATATGATTGGTTTAGTACTATAGTAGCAATCTGTTACTAGTTACTTGGTTTTTTTCTCAGTGGTGTTGAAGTAACTCTTGGTACCACTGTTGTAGTACATGTAACAGTTGTGAGTTTGACAGCTTCCTACACTGTAAATAGAGGAATAAAAAATTGGAAATAAAAGAAATACTTTTTAAAGGAACTTATATTAATTGGACTGTGTGCTAGCTACTGATAGTAGTTTAAAAGCATTGAATTGTTTTAAGGCAGAAAGCCATCACATTGTTAAAATGGAAGAAAATAAACATTTTTTTTTTCTGACATTGATGGATAAGAATATCCCAGAAGAATAATGGAAATAGTGATGCAGTAAAATTTTGAATACCACAAGTTATTCAGGTTCTGTTTTAATTGTTCATGTCATGCACCAGTGGCTGAGTACCCCTGCAGTGTGCTAGAAAGTTAAGACCTGCATGTGGGGAGCTGTTATATGAGAGGGCTCAGCTTGCTGCTCAGAGTGATCACACATAAATGAGCAGTCATTTTCCTTTGTCATTAGAGAATCCTTTATGTGCTTGATTCAGACAAAAACTTTTTTCCCAGTTGCCCATTTCAGTGAAGATGTTTGATTTAATTTTACCAAAATACTTAAAAAGCCAAGGGTAGTTTTTTTGGGTTAGTAGACTTATGTTACTTGTGCATTTTGTCTTTTCCAGAAGCCTAAAGAGCCTGTTCCAACCCTGGCTCCAAAAACCCTTTCTGTAGCAGCAGCTTTCAATGAAGATGAAGATGTGAGTAATAAGCCAGTGATCAACACAAAATACCATTGGTGTGGTAGGCAGAGACTGGGTTATTTATGGTTCTTAACATAAACGTCAGGAATTTTCAACCTAGAAGCATCTTTTTTGGCTCTGATTAAGAACAAACAATAGCTCTGTGTTAGTTCAAGAAATCATTAAAATGTTGATAACTTCTCCCTGAAAATAAGATGCACAACATAATTTGAATTAATACTTGCTCTCTCTAGGCTTGATTAGGGGGAGGCCAAGGAAAGTTGTGCTTCTGGTTTGCTAAATATTTTGTTGTCATATTACTGCTCCTTCTTTCATGGAGTTGAACAAAGGAGTTTGTATTTTGTTCTGGAACCGTGTAGGAGCGGCATTGTGTCCAAAGTCACTTTGCTGTCCTGTAGGGCTGTAGTCCAGCCTTTATCTTGTCAGGCGTTTGAAGTGTCCAAAGGCGGGCGCCCAGCCCCGCTCTGACCTCCTTTGTCCCTGCAGAGCGAACCAGAGGAAATGCCCCCCGAAGCCAAGATGCGCATGAAGAACATTGGAAGGTAGGGCAGCTTTGAACTGTGCTTTGGAGAAGGGTGAGTGTGTGGAATACCAGCTCAGGGCAGATCTTGAAGATGGTTTGAGAATACAAGGAGGTAGAATAGGTTAAAGAAGCATTTCTCCAGAAACAAGATTTTCAAATGTGTCATCTACAGGTTAAAAGTACTACATTTGCGTTTGAACTTTGAATCTTATTTACATTTTTTGAGGAAGAAATTGAGTCTGCATTAAATAGAAGCTCTATCTTTTTTTTCTTTTTCTTTTTTTTTTTTTTTTTTTTTTTTTTTTTTTTAAGTGTAATAGGTAGGAATTCCTGCTTGACTCTACTTTGTATTTTTCTGGTTCTCCCTTTTATAAATTGCCTTGAAGTAGGTAGTCTGGTCACATTTTTAAACTCATGTGCAAGGGGAAGATAAGAATCATCTCTCAGACAAAGAATTGCTTCATTACTTTATAATAAATCGTATCATTTTTCTGCTTGTCCACATTTGAGATGGAAGGGGAACAGTCCTAAAATAAGTAGGGACCTTTTCAGAGGAGGCTTCACTTAAATTAGGGATGAATTTTGAGAATTTGTATTTCAGAGGTGTTTATCATGATACACTGCTTTTAAAGTCAGTCATTCTGAAAGTTCTCTAGTTTGGTGGCTTTTCTTTTTTCTACAGTAACAAATTTAGATCTTCAGTTTCTTAATCTTAGGAGTTGGCAGCGGTTACTGCCACTGCCACCTCCTCTCCTGCCGCATCTCATTGCTATATTTTGACGTACTGGGTACAGATCAATTCTGTGGCCAGCTTACAGTTGCTAATAGTGAGGGCTCCTGATGTAACAGAAGGAAATTTGTGTGGTAGAGGGGCAGACTGGGCTTGAAATTGGCATTTTCAGTGCCATGTGGCACAGTCTACTGTAGTTGAGCTGGCTTTCTCAACTGCTCTTGTTTTACTGTTCGCAGGGATACACCAACCTCAGCAGGACCAAATTCATTCAATAAAGGAAAGCATGGATTTTCTGACAACCAGAAGCTATGGGAACGAAATATAAAATCTCATCTTGGAAATGTCCATGACCAAGAAAATAACTAAATGATGTGGATTACAAGTTGGGTGTTTTGGGGGGAGGGGAGGGTGTAACATTAAAGGAACAGTTTCCTTTTTTAAGAATGGTATGAGACTATCTTTGGAGCCACTTTTTTAAGACTTTGAGTGGTACACTAATAAATGAGTTTGAAATTAGAGGTAATTTATGTTTTGTATACAGATTTCAAGGCATTTGCTAATTTTGTAGTTCATGTGATTAGTTTCAAAAGGTTACAGATAATAAAGAAATTGGAGTGGTACCTTTTTAAGATAATTTTTTTTGTCAGTGATTAAATAAGGTGGATGAAAAAGGTTACTGTCTCTTTAATCAGGTTAAAATTGAATGCTCTTGCATTCTCACTTCTGGCTCCCTCTTCATAACAGGAGAAACAGTTCACTCCTATGAATTCTGCTAAAGAGAGTGAGCATTGTCTTGAACTAGAAGTGTTACTGGACTATTACTTTGAATATAATCTTACACAGGAAATAGTAAGAACTTGGATTTTTTTTCTCCCTGCAGTCACCTTTTGTTAAGTCTCTGCAAACTAGGAATTACGTTGCTCTGGGTGGCTCTGGTAACTTAGCTCTGATTTTGTTTAAAACTTCATGTAGGGTGTGTAACCTTCAGTGGCCTGTTCTGTCCTAAGGAAACGGGCCTTGTCTGTATATTAGATACAGTCTGTAAAGAATATTCATTACAAAGGTAAATCAGTATTTTCAGTGTGCTCCTTTTAAATCATTAGCCTTGAGTAGTGCTTGTCAGCATTTCCTAGTGGTACACAGAAACCACCACCAAAAATACAAGCTAATGTACATTAAGCTACACCTTTGATTGAAATATTTTTCTTTACTATGCCTAGAAGGAATAAAAGCCACACCAAAAATCAGTAACTCACTGCTTAAGTATGAAAAATCTAAGATGCACTTTCCCTGTCTTGCCATTTAAGACAAAATGCCTTGATGCTTATGACCTCAGTGGACACTATCAGGTCAAAGAATTCTGTACCTGCAGTCCTGATGTTCCTAGCAAGTATCAGCTTCAGAAATAAAACTTGACCTTTTCCTGCCTGTCTTCCTTTTGCAGTGATTTTCAGCAGTGACATGAATCTGGTCGTTTATTTCTTAGCTTCCATGCTGCAGGACAGTGCTGAAGAATTTCAGTGCTAGTAATGACCGCCTAAATTTCAGTCTAATTTAGATTGCCTATTTGTAAAAACATTTTATTAACAGAACTGGTTAAATAGAACATTATCAACAGCAATACCACTACCTGCCCCAACAGTACCACCTCCCATACCCCAGATAAGCATAAGGTTCTTTTTAAACTCAAATACCTGATAGTGTCAACCACTAAATTAATTTCAGCTGGAAAATGGTTGTAGCATTCAATATATTAGTTGCTTTCATCCTGCCTCTAAAACTGTCTTCTTGTGAAAGTTGAACTTGCAAGTGCAGAAAGGAAAGTGCATCTTGAAATGTATTTTTTTATTATTATTATTATTTTAGGAAAGCTCTGACCACTTAGACTTTTGAGTTTGTAAGTTCTAAAAATATTTTTTTGTATTTTTGTATTGTATGTGTAATCTTTTTTCTTTTGAAGTCTGATGCAGTTGAATACCTGTAACTGTTTTCTTTTAAAAGCCTTGTTATAAACTTAACATAAAAATGTATACATTATTTTTCTTCCATAGCAGAAATACTTGGTTTATTTAAAACACACTTTCAAAACTGACTTTCAGGACTTCCAAAACCAATTTGGGCATTACTGGAACTAGGCAACACAAACTTTTCACTTATTTTCATCACATGTGGTTATGTTTGTTTAAATAAATCCCTTTAAGATAGTGGTAATCCATAGTGGATAGCTATTTTCTTGTGCTCCTCAGTAGCTGGTTCATACTATATCAATCACTTGTATAGGAACAAAGCAAAACAGCACTTCAAATAAGAATGATTCAGAGATCTATTCCTTGTCTTAATTAACCTACCACCACTTTCTTTCACATCTTTGTCTGAAGTAGATGTTCATACCCAGAATCTCCTTGTACTTCAAAATCATTTAGGAAATTGCTAGGTGAAGGGCAGACATGCTATGAAATACCTTCCATGCAACTGAGAGAGCAAAAGTTATATTTATCTTCTTACTTCCATGGTCATTAAATAATCCTAGACCTTGTGAGAGACTGCAGAAACTTCTAAATCTAAGCTGAAGGTGAGCAGTGATGCTGCCTCACCCAGTGCAAGTGTTCTCTTCCTTCTCTGGGCTTCATGGGAGCAAATCCATCAGGATGGACTCAGTCTCCTCAGGACTGGGTGCCAGACAAGCTGGATTTTGTCTGCTGGTGTTTAATGTCTGATACTTGAAAGAGCAAACTGACTGAACTGAACAATATCATCAAGGTAAATGTTAGCTGGGATTAACTTGAAGCTGTAGGCTCTTGTTAGAGTAGTCATGGTTTCTGTATGCAGAGAGCCTTTTTTTTGTTGTTCTTTGTGGGGTTTTTTTTTGTTTGTTTTTGTTTTTTGGTTTTTTTTTTTTTTTTTTTTGTTAGTTGGTTTGGCTTTTTTTTTCTAAGGACGTTCAAGGATCCTGAAACTCGTGATAAATGATCTGATTTAGCTGAAGTGCTTCCAGGAGGTATGCTGAGTCCTTGAACTGCTTAGTACGGCATGCTGTGTGTGCCTGTCAGTGGTTGAAATGCCAGCTTGTGTGGTTTTATCCCATGGGACTCGTGCTTGCTTAGCAGGAATTGGTACCTGAGCAGCCTGCAGAACATTGATGACATAAGGTGAGGGTGGGAGCAGTTACCCATAACCTTCTCTGCTATCCTGCAGCTGGGCTGCTCTGAGCCTACTGGCTTGCAAATGGATCCAAACTCATCTAACTGTATTCAAATAATAAAAAAGCCCAATAACCCCCCCTCTCACCCCCCAAGAAAATCCCAAAAACAAAAGGCAAGAAAAGTCCCCTCCCAAAATTCCAAAACAAAACAGCCCCGCCAAACAGTGCAGTGAACTGTGATGGTGTGTTTCAGGCAGTGCTGGGTGTGGCCCTTACCTAATTTCATTCCTTGAAAGCATGGGAGGTGCATTGTCCAGCATCTCAGAATGAAGATTTTATCAGCAGGAAGCAGTCCCCAGCCTGTCTCTAAGGTAACTGAGGGGTGCCAGTTCCCAGCTTGAGCCATTCTCAGAGATGACCCAATTCCGGTATTCACTGAACTTTGGCAAAACCAGCTGTGGTCCTCCTGGGAGCCCCAAGGCAGCAGCCACAGCTGCCATCAGGCCTGGTGAGCTTCATCTCCACAGCTGCCAGGTTTGTAGAGCACCCCTTTGTCAGAACTCACAGGACTCTGCTGAGCTCCGTGGGCTGCCAGTGGCTTTACCAAAGTTGGCTTTCCAGAGACTTGGCAGGAAAAGTCAGCTTTTGAGAAAACGGTAACTTGTTTCCTGAAGAGGCAAACAGGTTTTAAACTATTGGAATTCATCGTGTCACTAGAACTCTTTATAGGTTGCTGTAAGATAAGATAAATCTGTTTGAAGAAGCTACAGGGTTTCAGAAAGGCTTTTTGTCTGTGTATTTGGTAGCCTTAAAGGGTGTTCTGCAAAGAGATTTGGTTTTTTTGAATTCCTTATATAACTACAAGTTGAGGAATGCTGAGTAGTTCTGCTCTTAAGCTACACAAGTAAAGATTATGTTCTAAACTCAGCAAAATTTGTTTAGTATCTCTGTCAGGACTCACTAGAACACCATAAATATTGGAGAATTAAGTTTGCTTTTTTACTTTGTCCTATTAACACAGCCCTTATTTCTTCTGCTTTCATTAACAAAAAGATCTCCTGTTGTCTAATTTTGAAATACTGGCATCTTATATAGTGCTTACTTAGGAAAGCGGCTCATATCTAATAATGTGGAGCCATTGCCTGGGGTAGGTGCACAGTTATGCATGGAATTAAAAGCACGGAACATCAACTGTTACACTTTAACTCTGGACACAGCATGCTCAATTTGTGTTTGCAAACTTGCATTTAGCAGTCTGCAGTGGTGGGAGCCCAAGATTTACTGCCCAGACCTCTGCAGCTTTGTGAGGTCTGGACACTCCAACGCCAGCTGCCCCTCAGGCTGGATAAGGAGGCAGGAGTGGCTGGTAATCAGAGCATGGACCTCCTGATGCAGTGGCATGGAACAAGGTCTGGAAAACTTCTGCTTGGCATGTGGCTCAGTTCTTAAATTTGTTTCTTGGGATTGGATTTCCTGATGAGATGGATATGCAGAAAGTCTTTGTGGTTCTGTAGCAAGAGCTCCACTAAAACTTGAAGTCATGAGCCCATATGGATGTTTTCTGGGGAGTACAAGTTTTTAATCTAAAGTTAATACAAGTTTTAATAAAAATGTAATTATCTCTCCTTTCCCCCCCACCCCCCAGCATCCCCTAATTTGTAAAGATGGTAGTTGCATGTAAGGTGTTGGCTGATGCTCAGTAGCTCGTTACAGAATCACAGCAGTGCTTTGGTGACAGAAGTGTCCCCACTCACAGCAGCTGCCATCTCTACAGCTGCAGGCACTGAACAGGTAACTGTGAACCAAGGGCCTAAAGGGGTGCTTTAGTTCTGTTACTCAGGTGTTTGTGTGACAATCCTGTTCACGTGTAAAATTTAAAGCCATGACAGGAAGAGCTTGCACTACTCCACACCTAAAAGCACCACTTAACTCAGCAGTGCTGCAAGGCAGGGCACTTGACCCCTGAGGAGAGACAAAGCCTGCAGCACAAAACTTTTCCTAGGGGAACAAAAAACATTTCCTTTCTGCTAAGTCCTTTAAAGGTCACTCAAGACTTGTAAAGGTGCTTCCCAACAGCCCTGCACTTGAGGATGACAACAGTGACCAGGGCCTCTCGCCTGCAGCAGCTGGAATTTTTCTGCAGGAGAATAGGCCTTGGTTAAGGGCTGCTCCAGAGATGCTGGGGGGGTTCCACCACATTGTTGGCCACAGCTGTAAGACTGGCTCCTGAATGTTAGCATTAAACACTGGGGCTGCAGAAATTCATGGTGCTTCCTTCAACAGCAAGGAATGACATGGTTGTAACTCCTGTAATAACTAAGTGGGGCCAAAAATTATCCACACGTCACTTGGCTGCTGTGCATCTGTAGTTGCATCCCTGCAGAGCAGTAGTTGTTCAATAGAAGCCTACCTTACTCCTTCAGCACTCAGCCTTTTGAAACCCCCACTTTTCTTTATAGACTTAGCTTGGTTACTTACAGGGGCTCACAGAGGAGTTAAGCTCCTAGCATTCCCTTAGGATGAACCACAGAAGATAATCAGGCTTTTTGCAACATCGGTGCTGCCTTGAAGTTCCCGTAACAGCAAAGGGAAAGGCATGGGACCCTGTTCCCAGACCTGGAGGCAGCTGTACAGCTCATCCTTCAGCCAGGAGACTGACACTGGAGGACAGCCTCCACACCACAATCCCTTCTCAGATATCCATCCCAGGGCAGAGCCAAGATGGAAGTGCTGGCTGGTGCTTGCTTTGGGGTGCTGTGTTGTACACCCAAGTCAAGAGAAATAACGTCTGAAACAAACCAGAACGGTTACAGCTGGGTGCCAGGGGGCTGAGCAGATACCTCATCCACCCCGAGGTCTTGCAGCCAAAGCAATTTCAGTATCAATATGCCCAGTGTTTCATTAGCACCGTGCTCTTGTACAGCCATGTTCTGACACAATTCAGGAGGGCAGTGTGTTTCCTTTCCTCATACAATGTAACTCTTTGGGCCTTAAGCAAGAATTAAAAAGCAGGTGTTAGTAGAACTATCCAGGCCAGACTCTGTATATGGACAGTGAAATACTGCAGAGGAATCTGCAACATCTTCTTTCCCTGGAGAAAAAGAAATTTTCTTGAAAGAGCAATTCATTGCAGAGCTTAGTTTATTTGGTGACAGAAATAACCATAACTTTATACATCTAACACTAAATAAAAACAGCAGAATGTACAAATCTGATTCATTATGTACAGGAATTCATTAGGAATACTTAATGAACAGACACTTCTCATTAACTTTATTTTTTAAAAAATCAAATACCAACTGCATATTTGCAGTCTGACTTCTGCAGAAGGGTAGTGAATGTCTTAAGTGCTGAAGTCCAAATTAAAACATAAGGCAACCCCACAGAGATAGGAAGAGCAAAGCCAGGAGTGACACTCCCTACTTACCTCACACCGTTCTGAAAAGGTAAGGCACAGCATGTTAAGAAAGGGGTGCCACAACATTCAGCTTTGACATTCCTGGCTGAGTCTTGTTTAGAAAACAACCTTTTGTTATTAGTTTGGTTGGTGGTTGTTTTTAAACAGCAGATCATTGAGTCAGTAAAAGCATTTTGACAGTGGATAAGAAGGCTCCAAAATTCAGATTCACTTTTGCTTTTTCCAGAGGTTGGGCAAATAAATAAATGCACCAAAGATTAAACTAAGGTGCTGGTAATATTATTTTTGTAAGGTAACACACTAAATATACAAATAATGTTCTAGCACTATTTACAGCTATTTTTCCTTGAACTTCACTTTAGTAATACATAATTAGTTTTAGGATACAAACATTGAAGTAAGTTTTCAAGTTTATCTAGTGCTCTTTTAAACCTTTTTCCATCATAATGGCAGTATTTTAATTTTAAGCAGGATGGCTATCTCCAGATTCTTTACCATACAAAATTCAAGTTACAGCTAACAGTATTTTTTTTAATGTTCATTTTAGTTTTACTCCATTTGGTAATTAGAAAATAATACAATTGTAAAGGGGTGCAGGATATATAAATAACCACATTATTTCTCTGAAATACAACCCTGACTTTTGA